GAGACCAAGTTGAAGTGAGTCCGGTGTAGTGATCGGAGTGAAAGTGTGAGAGAAAGTAGGAGAGAGAAAATTCGCCGGAGTTTCGGAAACCATCGACGATGAAGCGGGTTTTGGGGATGAGTTTTGAGGGTGGGAAATTGGCGGGAAATGGTGGAAGAGATGATGGAAGAGGATTTTGCGATTGAAGGAAGAGTTCGGAGGAATTTAGGGTTAGGGTTTTGGAGGTTGACATGGTGGTTTAAATGGCGGATTTAATGGTGGTTCTAATGGCGGTTTTGTCGGAGCATTTTTGGAAGGGAAGGTGTTGGTTGAAATGGTGGTGGAAAATAAAAATTAAGGATTTGTGCGCCAAAAGAAGTTACTGTGGTTGAACCAGGAATTCGATTACAATGAAGATATAAATTGTCCATATTTTCTGGGCCAAATGGCCATTGGGCCGGATAATTTGCATCATTATGTCATTAACCCTACTACTAAGATTCAAATATAGTCACAAGACTCACAAGTTCACAATTCACAACTCATCACATTTCATAAGGTTGATATTGAGTTATACGTGAGTACTATGGAGACATGGAGTACATAGCTTATATTAAAAAAAATTCCAAAGTTGAGATTATTTAAAGAAAATCGGTCAAAGTGAATTATTAAAAACAATTTTTCCTAAATAAAACATGAGAAAACGATTAGATATAGGAAGATGATGAAGCCTTGATTTTATGCCACCTCAATTCTTATGATGCTATGGGTCGTTAAACACAATGTTAGAGTTATTGAGTCTAATCAACATGGAAAATTTGAGGTTTATTACAAATAACAATTGACAATAACACCAATTTATCAACTGGCCTAAAACTAATTAGTATAGAATGGAGGTAATATCTCATATAAGCATGGTTTGACTTTAGGTATGAGTCATGAGTACTAATATAGTTCATACAAAAAAAAATAAAAATAAAAATAAAAATAATACAATGAATGAACTAAAAGTACCTACATATTACAAATAAGGAGGACCGCCTAAGAACAATGTTTTATTAATGTTTGAACATACTTGTTCAAACATGGTACTCCGTATGAAATACAATATGATTATCCTACCTCATCTTTTTTGACGAGGTGATTAATATTAAGAAGCTGAGCACCTAAATCCCAATCATATAAAAAACACTACGCAGGGTGCAGATCACTAGCATTTTCCTTGTATACAAAATAAAGTAGTTACATTTTTATTACATTGATAATGACCCTGTTTGGTGGTAGCGTTTGAGGTAGCGGTTAACGTTTTGACTAGTCAAACCATTACTAAAAAAATTTGAGAGTGTTTGGCAAGGTAATGGTTCTAGTAGCGGTTAGCGATAAAGGAACCGTTTAGGTAGCTTTTTTCAAACGTTAAAAATAGTAGCGTTTATGTTTGACAATTTTTTTAATTATTTTTTAAACAATATTTATATGAATTTTAATATATTTTAGTATTGCAACCGCTACTTTTGCCAAACACTCATACTCTCAACTGTTACTTTGACAGCTAACCTCTACCCACTACTATTTGACAACTACTCGCTACCTTAATAGCTACTCGCTAATCGACCGCTAAAAGCTACCCGCTATCGCTACTTTTACCAAACAGGACCAATATATACTTGTACATTTAAACATAATTTAAAAAATAGTACGAATAATATTAAATAATGATACTAATAATTCATGAAACTTATTATTTACTACGTTACTTGTACTTGAACTGTGGAATGATATATAGGTACTCGTGACGCGACAACGGGAAACATATCTATATTATCATAAAAAATATAATATAAAGTTTTTATGTATATATTGATCTTATATGAATATGTAAGGGCATATTAGTAGAGTGTATGATTCCAAAGAAGCTCAACCGAAGCTGCGATATCGACTTCTCACCGGCTTAATCTATCGATCATGTGCTGTGTGACATCCTACCTCCTTTCCGAATGTACGAATAATTCCTTCTTCTCATCATACATTCTCTATTTTACATACTGACATATATAATTGTTTTTAATAATGTTAGTACAATTATGTTTGGTGATCAGTATTGTATAAGATTTTTTAGATTTATTTATTTAATGACTACACATTATGACTACGTAATCTTTGGTACATTATTATCATGACTAATAAATATCCAAGAAGCAGGGATCGATGTAATAATTCACTAGTTGTTTTTTTTATTAAATTATTCAAGATAATTATATTTATCGTGATATATCCTAAGAGAGTAAGAGTACATAATTTGTTCAATTTTTGAAATTGTTACTACTTACTCGATCTGCATTAAGATCATTATTTAATTATATTGTTCATTTACCATTATAATTAAGAATAATCAACTCTATAAAATATTTTAATTGAAATTTCAGAACATGTATTTTTCTAAAGTGTTGGTATAGTTATCTACTAAGCCTTGAGTAAGATATACTCCATACGACTAGTGTGAAGAGACTATTTGACCCACGTTGAAGTAAAAGAAGAGGAATGGTGATTGAATTGATAACTAACTTATAAGCTTAGTTGGTGTTTTTACAAACCAAATTTACGATAAAATCTAAACCTTGTTACGTACGTACACTTATTATCTGTAGCCAGACTCTTCAAGTGTACTATGCTTGGTAAAACTTAGCAAGCAAAGTAGTTAAGCTAAGATTTATTAGGCAGCTATATGTTTGTTACCTCTTAGTGAGCTCATTCTAATCAAATTTGTCGTTGAGGCTCATATTAAGTTTCAAGTTTAAAATTCATATTCATGTTTTTTCTTAAAACCATTTATTATTATTATTATTATTATTAGCAACTTCTTCAAATGTTCCTTTTCTCCATAATATATAATCTCGTATTCTTATTAGTTTCCTATCTTGCAAGTTGCTTCATTCCATCGTTACATTAACATGAAACCTTTGGAGACAGGAAACATCATCAATCAAATATGAAATATTCTTTGATGGAACATCAGTACGTTTACCTTAAACAAACATACATAGTACTTATATAAATGAAAGAATGAATAATATTGACGAATAGTGTTTTGGAAAGTGGAATAATTTGGTAAGAATCCAATATCCAAGCCATGTGAGTTAGACTGAGATGTAATAACCGTGTAAAATCTTTACGCATATTTTGTCTAACTTTGACAACCATCTGTATTTTTTAATCTAATAACAAGCAAAGATACGGAGTAAAAAAAAAAAAAAAAAGTTTTTTCTATATAGTAACCCTGTTGTGCCCCAACATATATCATTTTTCACATTGTAACTCCAATATACATTTTGTTTCCATACGGTAACCTTGCTGTTATCCAGCCGTTAAAAAATTACGTTAGTGGGGTCCACTCTCCATTTATTAATATTTTTTTATCGATTTGCGCGTTGGAAAACCTTCCGTTAAAGGTTTTGGGGGCTAATTTAGGTCTTAAGGGACCAAATTGAGCTCATATTTGGCAAAAAAATAACTTAAATGTCTCGTTTTGCTTATTAAGAAATGTCTCGATGTACATGTTCTCGTTTTAATACGCAAAATGAGGCATTTATGTTACTTTTTTGTGAAATCTAAGTTCAATTTGGACCCATAAGGGCCGAAAAAGCCCCCTAAACCTTTAACGTAATATTTTCCAACGCACAAATCGATAAAAAAAATATTAATAAATAGAGAGTGGGCCCCATTAACGGAATTTTTTTAACGGCAAGGTTACCGTATAGAAATAAAATATATATTAGGGTTACCCTGTGGAAAGTGATATATGTTAGAACACAACGTAGAAAAACGAAATTAATAGGGTTACTATATTAGAAGAAAAAAAAAAAAAAAAGTCATAATCATAAAACAAGGAATCAAATCAGAAAGATACATTGTATTTAATTTAACAGTTCATGTTTGAAAATGACAAAAATCATTGTTTTAAGTGGACAACACAACATATCTTACTTTGCCAGCTTAAAGGGAAGTTAGCCCACTATACCCAATCAAGAAGCTAACTAACTAAGCTTTATTTGCCTCCCCAAAAATAAAAATGAAAAGTCTTACTTTTATACGTGTGGTACTCTTTAAATTGAAAAGTTACTACATGCTTGTATATTGTAATGCTTGCTTAGGTATTAATTAACCTATATTTACAAGGAGCACCAAGAAATAAGTGTAAGTCAATCAGATCATCTATAACTAATTTTTTGGTTAAGGTTATGATTTATGAAGTAGTATTCAAGATTGAGATCAAATCTCATCTAAATACATACTTGTATTTAATTTATTTCTTAGAAATGTTTTACCTCGTTAACACTTAGTACATACCCTAACAGAAAAAGAGACTTAGATCAGTTCGTTTTACACGTCATATATAGTTAGAGGTCATTTTTAAGAATTTTCTCAAAAAATTATAATTATTCTTGATAACAAACAGAGTTATTAATAACTATCAATAAAATTTATATATATGATACCACTAATAATTAAATTAGTTTACAATTAAGAGTATTATGAGTTTTTTTAATTTTAACTTACACTACGTGAAAGTGACTTACGAAATTATTTTTCTAAAACATTCCAAATAGAAATGTAGCATATTATATTAGGATGGAAGGTGTAATCTTATGGAATAGTTTGTGAAATCAACCACCGTATTTACTATGCTCTTTTTCATTTAGTTTAATTAACAACAGAGATATATATTATACTTCATAGATACGATGAAAATGATACAATTAGTCCTTAAGCTCATGCATTGTATCATGGCTAATGATGGGACCTTTAATCACAAAAATGGACCCCACGCGAGCTCAACCCCATCGCATTACTATAACCATAACAATAATTATGATCAATAATTTGATTAACTCAAAAAAACAATGTACATATATACAAATATTGACGGATCACAACTATATAACGCGGCAATACCTTTAAAAAATACCAAGACAAACAAAACCTTAAATTTTATTTTCCCTTTTTAAAATGGAAAATAAGATAGAATTTCCACTTGTCAAACTTTCATAACTTCAACAACTGGCAAATGAATCTTCCACTTGCCTCTTTTTTAACCGTAGTTGACTTCCACCAACCTTCCCTATATATAACAAACCCTATCTTCCCTCTCACTTCAAATTCATATCCATTAAAACCCATTTTTTTCTCAAAAACTTATTTGAGTTATCAATTTATTATCATTTTCGTCTCGAGTTAAGAGGTTGAGCGTTCGATTCTTATCTAAGTTTAAAATTAAACATTCCGACCACACGAAAGTTAAAAAAAATATACATAAACATGGGCAACTATGCATCTTGTGCGCTATCATCAATGGGCAAACATAAATCAGCTAAAGTGGTGTTTCCAACCGGAGAAATCAAGCAATTTCAACAACCTACAAAAGCCGCGGAACTTATGCTTGAAATGCCCGGATTTTTCCTTGTAAATTCAAAGGCTTTACAAATTGGAAAGAGATTTTCAGCTCTTAATGCAGATGAAGATCTAGAGATCGGGCAGGTTTACATCATGTTTGGTATGCAAAGGGTGAATTCTTTTATTACTGCTGCCGATATGGGAGCTGTTTTCCTTGCTGCTAAACGTGGCTCTAACGGAAAGGTGAGGGTTGTTCCTTCATACTCCGTTGAGAGTGAGTCAGAATCACCACTGGCGCATGAAGAGGACGCGCTTGAGATGAAGGTTGTAGTTGAGGAGTTGTTGTCGGAGTTTAAGCATAGGAGGTCTGTTTCCCGGTCTAAAAAGCCGGTGTTGGAAACCATTGTGGAAGAACCTGTTAGCATTTTTTCAAGAAGGTGAACAAGCTAAGCAACCAAGTTTTTATCCTTATGTTATTAAGGTAGGAAAAAAGAAAAAAGAAAAAAAAAGGAAAAAAAATGGGCTTTTTGGAATGGATTTGGAGGCTCTCTTGCTAGTTTTAGATGGAGGGAGAGAGACTGAATTCTCGTGGTTTATTACTTGCTCTATCCGGAGTTTAAGATAATTATTAATTTCGGATGAAGGGGTAGATTTTTAAGGGTGAAAAAAGATGTGCGTATTGAAAATATGTATTCTTTTGATTTGAATTGTATTAACGGTTTTAGGGGTTTTTTTTTGTGACTTGAGAGGTGATTAATCACCTAATCAAGTTATTGTTGTAACCCTTAATTCTCGTGAAAATATATATTCTTGTGTAAATTGTCAAGACAAAAATTACTGTTATGTAAATTGATTGTATAAATCTTTGTCTTATTTTAACCCCCTCCCTCAATTATCTATAGTTCTGTACAACTAATAATGGATTTTGTTAGTATTAGTGCCAACGCAATAAAGCAACATAACAGATGGGACATATTTTTGGATGGCATATGGACATGTTTGAAAATAAGAAGCTACATCCAAAATAATTATTCCATAAAAAATGATTTAAAAATACGATCAACTTGATTAATTAAAACACCCTTTGAAATATTAAAATATAATTGTAATAATATATACTACTTCTATCGTTTCATAAAGTTCTTCCAACTTTTAATCTATTTGTTTCCATCGAGTTCAAATAAAATACACTTCGTAATTTATCAAGTTAAACTCAAACAACACGCGGAGGCGTACTAATTAATAATAAGTAATAACTACAATAAGTTATGGCCTTACTAATGTTAATGTTATTAGTCTTTTTCTCTAATGATGAAACCTCCACTCACTATTATCAGCCTACCATACCTTGCTTGTATGTGTATCCAACTAGAGGCAATGTGTGGCGATAGACGTATCTACTTATCTCGATCTACGCTACACTGTTGCAAAGTTATAGACCATAAGTTCAAAATCATAATATTAATAGCGACTCCCTCCATAATCTATCGAAGAAAAAAGTAAATTAAATACATCATATATTGATGATAGCTATGTTTTTCGGAGTAGTAATCTACATATGACGGAGCGTGATAGCATAGACATGTATTCCGTCATACGGAGTAATAAACTTGAAATTGTTGATATTTTTACACTTTTGTTTATGGTAAACTGATAATATATTTATCATCGTCTTATCATAAATGATCAGATAATCCATCATCATAACATCCTTCAATCAAAATATGCAATGATTTTCTATATTTTAAAATGTATTATTATCCTATCCCTTAAACAGAAAAAGTCCACACGCAAAAATAATGCTAGGGTCACAAGGCTCACAACTCACAAGACAAAGGAATGAAGGATGAAAAACATGACATTGCCACTTATCTAGCAGTCATATGGGGTTTGTACTTTGAGTTTTGTCGACGTAAATTATGACCAAGTTAACAAACAATTAATGCCCATTTTCTACGCATAATAATTCATTAATTATTATTCAAATGTTATTATTATTAATTAGTAGAATAATATCATTAATATGTATGGTAGGAAGTTTGTTGGTGATGTGAATTCGGTTGAATTTAGTTATGAAAAGTAGTCCAAAGTAGAATTTACCCTTTCTTTATGCATGTATTGTTTGACAATTAACACGCCATACCGTCTATAACGCATTAAGTACCTTCAAAGCATTATATGGCTGCTCCAAGCCTCCAACTCATATCTTCTTATCGACCTTTTGACCCCACATTAATGAAGCCTTGGACTATTTTTTCGTTTTCATATTATCTGATCACTTAACTTAACTAATTTATCACAGTGTTGTGAACTTCAAATACAAATATGTACATTAATTGTAATTTGCTAAACCTTAGCTTGTTCATTACAATTAAGATAGAATGACAATAGTATCCGTAGAAGATTGGAGTATTTTAGTATGGACTATGGAGTAGCACTCATTTACAGAGATACAAATCAATCTTTATATTTTTTTGTTTGAGGAAAGATTTATAATAATCTATTCAAACATATGCTGATAATATTGTATAGAAAAAAAAAAGAAAAAAAAGGATTTAGGATGTTGATGATATCTTTCTACCATAGATGGATTTCCTCATGCAAGTTTTGTTTAAAGTTAAGTTACATTTGACTTTTAAGAATTAAGGACGTTCGTTGAACTTTAATCATACATGATTTCATACTAATTGCGCGTGAAAAGTAGCTGTTGGTCAAAACTCCAAAAAAAAAAAAAAAAAATATATTTGAGGAGTGAGATAAGATAGAAAGTACACAATTTACGTATCATCAAGGTTTTTGACTGTTCAACATACTAGTGATTAGGTCCATATAAATAAAATAAATGGTGAGTGTACTCTTGTTTTTTGCTGGTTAATGGTGAATGTACTTAAAAGAGGCACACAATAACGACCATGAGAAATGCATTAGAAATGTTAATCTAAAAACAAAAAATTGAGGTCTTAACCTCAAACTTTAAAGAATCACAAGTGGTCCTATAGTCCTATTCATTTCCTCATCATATTTATGAGGAGGTCAATTCCTCAAACTAAACTAGCATTTTCCTAGAAAGAGCATTGAAACACACAACTTAATGGCTCCATATCTTGAGCTACATTACATATTTACATGGGACCATGACACATTTGGAACCATGTGGTTCAAACACAATAGGGGTCCAGTGGGCCATAGTTGATGATAGTGAAAATTCATAGTACATAAAAGTATACTATTAGTACTGGTTAGTATATGTCGTATTGGTGGGCCATTATGTGTGTAATAAACAGTTTTCAAGTTGGGCCTGTCTGATGTTGTCACAGGATAATTGTGGTCCACTAGTTGTGGACTAATGGGCCCATGTTCCGTGCGTTGGTTCTGTTGAATACTATCTATGTTGATCATTATCAAGCTATAAGCCTATAATAATGGATTATTATGTTATTACAGTTGTTAAGTTGGAAGTTTGGAATATGGAATCTTAGACGTAATGCTTCTTTCTTCTTTCTTATTATTTAGTTTTTGTAGGCTGCCTCCTCCTCTAATTGCCATTTGAAATTTTTCTTATTGAATTGGAATGAAAATTTAGTAACAAAGAGTGCAATAAAGTCTTCTTATGAAGTAGACACTAACCACGACATATGATATACATTCATACTACTCACTCGCTCACAATAAGCCAGTGATAGAGTAGATTTGTACAAAGTTACCTTGTATTTTGGGTACATAAAAAAAAAAAAAAGACTAAGATTTTCTTATCTGATCAATCATAGTGCATTAAGTACAAGAACATAACATATAGAAGAAAACTATGACGATCATTAATTTAATAGTCAATACTAAGTAGCATATGCGAAAAAAAGTGACAAGGTATCATATGTTATAGGTATTAACTTAAAATTAACTTCATATACGTAGTACATGAATACCCCCCTTTATACAAGAAGATCATATAACGAAAAACGGAAAAACAACAAAACATACCAGATAATGACAACTACATTAAATGGCAAAAGTCCATGAAAGACAATGTGAGCAAGCTTCACACTAGGCATAGAACAACAACCCAATTAGTTTTCCAAAAAAATGAGTAGTCATAGTGTCATACATTCTTAATAAAAATTGGGTGCAAGTAACCACATAAATATATAAATTTGTTTTTTTTTTTTTGTTGGTAAGAACGCTATCAACCAGAAACTCTCGCATGTTCTTCCGACTCGGATCATAGAAATATAGAATGATGGATTAATCAATCTTCCTATGAAATGGGTTAAACAAATAACATCCTCCCTAGTCCCTCCAAGTATGTAAACGTGGGTCCAAAATAAAAAGACTAGTCAAACATCAAGACTGAGTTTTCATTCCATTCCATTTCATTCCATTTCACCGGATAATCCTTCCAATCAAGTTTCTCTTTCCTCTATTGTAGGGTTTTATCCTTCTTTCTCCTCTATCTCTATCTTTCCCCCGAAATCCCGATTTATCTCCATTAATGGCGGGAATCAAGCTTCCTCCGGCGGAAGATACGGCGGAGCTTCCTCAACAGCCCAGAACTCCGGTCACCGGAGATCTCATTTCCGACGATGATCGTTCTATTGCCGCCGATTCCTGGTCGATTAAGAGCGAGTACGGTAGTACTTTGGATGATGAGCAGCGTCATGCTGACGCTACCGAAGCTCTCGCTGCCGCTAATCTCCGCCCTTCCTCTGATTACAGGTTCTCTCTCTTTCGATTTCTATGCTTTTGATTTTGTTCTGATATTAGGTGTTTCTTCAATTTTTTTGAATTTGTGTAATTTGATTAGGTGTTTGTGCAATTAGGGTTTATATTGTTGTCGGCGTGATCGATGTATGCATTTTGCGATATGAGTGTTTATTCACTGAAAGATTTTGGATTCATTTGATTTTTGTTGAAATTTGTGTAATCAGATTAATGTTCTGTGTAATTAGCAAATTTTTCATGGTCATGAATGTCAACATTATGCAAATTCGAGCCTTTGTTTGCTGAAATTGAATCTTAGATTAATTTGGTGTTTTCCTCTTCACTTTTGGCGTGGATTTGCTTAATCAAACAGTTTATGTTGTTGTGAATTAGGTTTATTTGTTGTGTTCAACGTCTGCATTCTGCAAAATGTGTTACTCCGTTTCTTTTTTTGCTCAAATGTGTGTTCTGATCAATTTCGTTTTGAAGTTTATCTTGCTCTCCCATTTACTTCAGGTATCTTTCTGCTTTTCGTTTTCATTGACATTTGTTTTTTCTGATCAGATATTGTTGTTTGATCACTTATTGGCTTGACAGCATATGTGTTGGTTGAAACTGTCTGAATTGAGGTTTATTTTGCTAAATTGATCGGTCACTATCATGTTTAGTTAGGCTCCTTTCATGTAGTAGATGTATGTATCTGGTGATTGGAGTGTTTGTTTGCTGAAATTTATTCGCCATGTTTTATTGGAGTTTTCCCTTAGCTTAATTAGGTCATTTGTCATTACATTTAACATTTTGCACCTTTGATGTTTTATTTAATTTTACACCAGGTTTTTGCGATAGTTTTGAGTTGAAATCTTCTTAATAATTTCTTTCTCTTCACAGGAACAATTATTGCCTATCTGCTGAATTGAATTTCTTTTTTTATTTTTTGTTTGTGTTAACGGAAAATTGGATTTTGTTCCTTTGGTGAGTGACAGTTCAGATAAGGATTCAGAGAAAGACGCAGAAGATGGTGATGGGATAGCCTCAATGCTTGGTCTTCAGAGCTATTGGGATGCAACATATTCTGAAGAGCTTGAGAATTTCCGCCAGCATGGCCATGCTGGTGAAATTTGGTGCGTTGTGTTTTCATGTTTCTGTAAATATTGCAGACAAATTTCCTGATGTTAGTTGGAAAATTCATTTACAGGCTTTCAGCCTTCATTACTTATGCTTGTATAGTCATCACAAAGAATTGCTCTATTATGCTGTGGTTGTGCTTATTGTGAGTTACCAGGATAGATATTAATTGTCTTGTTATAGTTGGCTATAATATCCTATGATGCTGGTCTGAAAACATTCAATTAGATGACTTTATTGTTTGTCGATAGTTTCAAGCCTTTGATTATTGGTATGTTCAATATTTTTGGTATGCAACTAAAAAAAAAAATGGAGGAAGTATTATTTGTGAACAAAAACAAAAAAGTCTTAAACCCAAAATGACTTTCAAAATAAACTAAAAATCAATTAACAAAAACAAAAACAAAAAAAAAAAAATTCCCTCCAAAAGGTTTCACTTGAGTATATAGAAATATAATATAGACTTTTCTCCTAACATAAGCTCTAAAGTATCTTTCAAATTTCTTCTGTCTTTGAAAATAGTCTCTACCCCCACCCCACCTCACACCATTTGGTAGATTTTTTTTGTATGTGAGACAAAACCAATTTTTCATAGGCGAGGATTATTTAGATTGGAGATTTTGTATGCCTTATATTTTTTTTTTCTCACTGCTACTTGCTGTCAGGTTTGGACCTGAAGTCATGGATACTGTTGTTTCTTGGACAAAGAATTTATGCATTGATATTTCTCGGCGTCGCTTGTTAAATCATGTTGGTAATGACAAGACGGAACATGATGATCATGCAGCTCATGACCTGTCCAGTTGGAGTGTACTTGACCTTGGAACTGGCAACGGTCTGCTTCTTCAAGAGCTTGCTAAGCATGGGTATTAATTGCATACTGTTAGTCTCCAACATTCTGCACTACCTAAACTCTAGTTTGATTATCATACATAGTAATATGTCTATTTGGTTTGATAATCCTTAATGTTCTTTATGTATGGAAATTGATCGCAATGGGAACAATTTGCAATTATGGGTTTTTGGTTTTTAAAAATTTAGAAATTTATCACATTGATAACTGTTGCTTGGATGAATAGGCACTAGTGTTTATTATTTGTAATCAAGGATTTGATTAATATGCTCAGAATATTTGGTGGTAATCTAACTTATGCTATGGAATTCAATGCTAAATTTTAACTTGCTCAAGTATTGGGTTCGATGCTATTTGTGAAAGGAGATAAGCTTTTTGATTAGAAATTTGAGTATTGGATGTCTGCTTCCTGGATGATTGATAGCTGGGGCTAGCTTGTTCTGCAAATCTGTGCAGGTCAATTTGGTTTGGTTACTGGTGTATGCTCTCTCTCATGAAAGAAAATAAATAAAAATCATGTGGGATGATGACATGCTTGTATTTATTTATTTTCTCACTAACTGTGCAAGCTCTACGGGATTAATGTAATTAATTTCCTGGTCTACTATCTTTGCATCTTAATGTATATTGAGCGTACAATTACTCATCATTTTCTCAAGATATCTTGGGAAATATGAGCTATAAATTATTAAATGAGAGCATGGTGATTGTGAGTGGTTTGAAGTTTATTTCGTGTAAAAGCCAAAAGATAGGAATAAGTGGTGTTTGAGAGGATTTTGGTTGCTTGTCATATAGAGTGCCATTTTTTTATTTTTTTTTTAGAATAAAGGCATGCACGCTTGATTTCCCCTCTTGCTAGAATTGCTGACTCTGCCTTTTGTCTGCTTGGTTCAGGTTCTCGAATTTAACTGGTGTTGACTACAGTGAAGGGGCTATAGGCCTTGCTCGTGCTCTTGCTGAGAGGGATGGATTTAATAACATTGCTTTCTCGGTATATCATTTTCATCAGCTGGTTTATTAATTATTTTATGCTTTCAAATAACTTTTGGAAACATAATTAGGATTAGAATGAAGAGAAATCTGCAACATCTTTTGAGCTTAGCTGTTAGAAGCATTTAGCAAAGAATGAGGTGTCGTTTGGTTGCTATGGGAATTTTCTTCCCATAGGAATTTGTATTTCATGGGAATTAAATTACTACATCAAATTCATGGGAATTGCATAAAGTTGTTTGGTTGGAATGAAGGAAGTTGTAAATCATGGGAATTTTGACTTACTTAGGGGGGGGGGGTTGGGTAATTAACTTCCATGTTTTGTGGGAAGTCACAATTCCCATGAATTTGCAATTCCCTCATTTACACTTTTTATTGTCAACCAAACAACTCCTCCATTTTCAAATTCCCATGATTTTCCACTTCCCCCATTTTCTTTGTGTAACCAAACAATCCCCGAGTATATCAGATGTGGAATTTAATTAGGAGGGATTGAAAATGAATCTCATATTTTTTTAAAAATAATTTATTGTGTGTGTCTGTTGTTGTTGTTGTTGGGGGGGGGGTTAATAATCTTATTGTGTGTGTGTGTGTGTGTGTGTGAGAGAGAGAGAGAGAGAGAGAGAGAGAGAGAGAAATTCAGTATCAATCGGAAGCTGAGGTGAAGAGAAAACAAATGCTTACATCCAGTTGCTTTCCTTATGCCTGGTTGAAATTGTAAACTGACTGTTCAAACGTGAGCAATATAGCCTTTTAGTTATTATTTGAACTCTTGAAGGTCTTATCTTATTTGTAGCTGAATGCCTGACCGGATGCATGAGTCTAATTGCATCCTGGATCTGTGTTTGTATTTATCTACCTATACATGTTTATTTCTGCCTCTTGACCATAACATTTGTTTCTATTATGCTCTTAGAAACAATGTGTTCATAAAATCTTTAGCTATTTCTCCACTCATTTTTTCCTATGCTGATAGTGAGCAAAAGCTAGGTATCCACCCAGTCATAACAATTTAAATACTAGTGCTTGGGTTATCATGATTGAATGTACATGTGTATTACTAGTCTTTTGTATGTAATTCTCCATTGCATATATTTTGTCATGCAGGGCAGGCCTAGTGTACTGTTTGTGTTGAAACTACAGAGCACTTATCCACTTCTCAATCCTCCTCTTGTACCCTTTCTCTTTTTGTTTTTGCTTATTTGTCCTTTTTCAAGGAATCTGTGGTTTCGGGGCATCTTCTTTACCCCTCTCCCCTTTTTTGCCTTTTTGGGGTAGGGGGCTAGATAGTTCAATGTATTTTACTCCTGTTTCCAAATTTTCGTTACTAGACATTTTGCTGCATTAATTTAGATAGAAGTTTCAAATAGAATGGATGAGGAAAGATATGGGGAGCCCATGGTGCATAATTATAGATGTTGAAATAGACCAGAAAGGAAATTGTTGAATTAAATTGGAAACAGAGATAGTATGCCTAGGTACCTGCGCGTAGGTTTTATAAAGTTGGATAAAACTTATTTTCAGTTTGTCTCAACATCATACTTCGATGATGAGAACTGCCTCTTGTTTCCTATGCCTGTACGGCTGTACCATCATCAATATTATGGCGAACCTTTTATTAATGTTTAGTTCCAAAATATATATGACCTTGCAATGCTCTAGTCTTACTATTTTGTTCAATGCTCTAACCCAGGTTGATGATGTTCTTGATACCAAGTTGGAAAAACAGTTTAAGCTTGTGATGGATAAAGGAACCTTGGATGCCATTGGCCTGCATCCTGATGGCCCTATTAAAAGGTTGGTTTTATTTTTTTAAATCTTCTCAAAGAGTTAGAGAGCTGGTGATCAACTGTTAACTTCATAGAGTACTATTTTTCAATAACCCACTCCTCTCTTTTTGTATACCTTGTCTTCTCAAGAACTGGTGAATGGCTAACTTCATATTTTGTTACAGAGTTTTTCTCAAGTAGATCAATGCACCAGTAGTCTTGTATCTCATAGTACTGCTTATTCTACGCAGTACATTAGCAATTAGGACATGACAATTATTCAGTTATTCAATATTCAGTTTGTTTTATGTGACACTGACTGTGAGATTTGATGTTCTGAGCTACAATTACCAATACTCGCTTTTTTATTTCAGGCTTATGTACTGGGATTCTGTTGCAAAATTAGTGGCGCCTGGTGGAATACTTGTAAGTTCTGCTTACTATTGTTATTGCTGAGGTTTCTTTTATTTGTCTGATAGGAGTATAAACTTATTTCTAGCTCTTGATGGTCTTTGTTGGTAAAAGAAATAGTGATTTTTTTTAGTGATTGACCTTGTTTTGAAGATCTCCTGCTTGTTTCTTATTCCATTTTTGATTTCTTTCCATGAATTATGCAGGTTGTAACATCGTGTAACAGTACTAAAGATGAGTTGATGCAAGAGGTAGAAAGATTTAATCAAAGATCTGCTGTCCAACCAGACACCTCACTAGACCAAGGTGCTCTAACATCTGCTCCTTTCCAATATGTTGACCATATACGATCTTACCCGACATTCATGTTTGGAGGAGTCGAGGGATCACGTGTTGCTACAGTAGCTTTTCTCCGCAACTGAAGATCAGTAGATTTTTAATACAGGCCTTATGTTTCATCTAACTTAATATTTTTATATGGTTCAAGTTTGTGGGTGGCAAAATATTGACTGTAAATGAAAGTGCCTGCGAATTGATTTAAGTTGTTTACAGTTCAATGGTTGAAACATTTTCGAGTTAACAACTTCGCTTGTGTGGATTGTCAAATATAACACAAGGGAAGTCTAATGTTGTAAAAAGCATGCCCTGTAAATTGAACCTGTTGGATTCCATTTATTATTTGGGATTATTAAAGAGGGTGAATTCGTCTCTCTATCTCCCTTTCTTTCACATATTTGTGCAATTCACGACTTCGAAATACAAGGCTTGTGCATTTGCGCTAAAATAAGCCTACATCAAGCAACTTCTTGTGCTGTAGTGTCCACAGAAATCATTTCTTGTGCTGTAGCGACACTTGACATTCCAATTTTTTGCCTAGTGTCACGCCACATAGGCGACAAATAGGAATTATTGTGACATATATGATGCTAAGTAAGCAATTTTTGGATAGATTTTTTAAGATAAAATGTTGTATAGAGTTTTATTATCATTATATTTTTAATATTTCATATATACAAAATTAATCATAACTTTTAATAAATATCTTATAACTCCGTTTTATTTTTATCATAAAATTCTTTTCAAAAAGTTCTTTAAAATAAGATCCATTGTATTAATTTTAGTAAAAAAATAATAGAGAATCAACAAAAATAAGTTTTAACCAGTAAAAATAATTTTGGTTTAGTAAAAATAATTTAAGTTCAATAATAATAATTTCAAGTCAATAATAACACAGATATCTATTTACAAACAAAATTACAAAAAATACACTATTCTATAATTAAGCGATAGGATGTTGTATGTCAAAATATCCTGCATTATTAAAAGGGATTACATGACCGTATTAATAAATATTCAAGACAAAAAGTTTATGCTAAAATTTTATCAACAATCCGGGCATCGCCTGGGCACAAAACTAGTCACTAATAAATAAAGCCGGTCACGCAGCCAGGGCACGAGACAGTGACACTTGGCATTCCGGTTTTTCGCCAAGTGTCGAGCCACGTAGGCGACAAATAGATATTATTGTAATTAGATTAGATGCCACGTTAGATTAGATTGGATAGATTTGTTTAGGATAAAAAAGTATACATAAAATAATTTATAATTCTTTTGAAATAAAAAATTTATCTTTTTATTGACAATAGAATTTTACTTAAAGCAACACACCACATATTATAATTACTATGAATATCCAATTAACAATAGAATTTTACTCCTATACGAATGACCATGGAATTATATATGGTCAAGTATCATTAATTTTTTTTATCTAATATTCTAAAAAATATAAATAATAATAATAATAATAATAATAATAATAATAATAATAATAATAATAATAATAATACGAAACATGTCCACAAATAAGTACACTCTCTAAAATGGGTATCTAGGACAACGCCCGGGGCACTAACTAGTATATATGTAAAGGAGAGTTTTCCCGAGTTTTTAGAGAGCCACGTTGATTTTTATTTTTTTAAAAATTATTAGAGCATCACTTAGGATTAATATTTTTAAAACGCTACAATCGGATTATGCCACGTAAGATTAGTTTTTTAAAGCGCTACCTAGGATTATAATAAAAAAAAAGCACGCACCACATAGGATTAATAATTTTAAAACGCTACAATATGACTAATAAATTGCAATTCTTTTTTTTTTTTTTTGTTGGGAGACTTGTGAGTTCTGTAAAATGGTAAGAACGAGCAAACTCTCCATAAATTACTGTCCTGCAGGTCTAAATCTTTCAAAGAAAACCTACTACCATATGTCTCAAATCACCCTCTCTTAGGGGAAAGACAAGCTGCCATATAGATGTGAGCACGTAGGGAAATTTAAACACAATGCATTTAGTTTACAGTTTTCTTTCGCAATTATAAATGCCTTTGTGCGTAAATTAAAGCAGTCCATGAACAATACATGAGCTCACTTAAGTCAAATTGTATGTAAATCTCTCAAATCAATAATAACTGGATTAGTCCAGGAATAGTGTAATTACTCTACTGCATATAAGAATGTTCCACATCAGAAAAATAACCATGGAACTAAGAGAAATTACGATTGAAGCATCAGCACATAATTGTGCAATTCAGTCAATTGTGAAAGTCTTATTCTAAGTAAAAACAACAGAGCATTACACTTTATCTTAAAGAGATCGAATAACAATGAGCAATATAGAAAAGCTGCAGTGTGTTCTCATTTAAGTAGAAGCTGGTTCCTCAGAAGCAGCATTTTCTCCATCTACAAAAACAAAAAATGGAGCACGAAAATTCAGCTCAGTACAGAACCTATGTATAAACAACATAGCATCACTAAGAAGAGCAAGGTTTTTAATGTAGCACTTACCTTCACCATCTGTTGGAGCACAAGGAGATTTACGGTACCGTGTTTGTTGCTGAGTGGGCTGCATAGACAGAGACAATATGAGATATCACCATCATCTAGATTACTAAACACTTGTTAGTTTGAATAGCACAGCTATAGTGACAATCATTTTGAGGACGGAATACAAAGAACAAAGAAAGCAAGCAGAATTTCAAGGTCACTAAGCAACAGCATATACAAAAGGCATCTATCATAAGATTAAGAACTCAGCTGAGTTAGCTGATTTCTCAAAGTAACTAGACTACAGCCAAAATAGTAGCACCCCCATCAAGAAGTAATTAGGTTTTAAGCACATAAGATCCATAAAGAATAGACTACAGCCTATAATTCAATACTATCAAACAGACCATGGTAAATAGTTCCCCAAATTAGTTTGCTGCTAAAATATATTCAACGACCCAAATGCTGCAAGAAGCATCTCAAAGGTCAGGCACTCAGGCTAAACACAATGCAAGACTTTCAATTAGCTGGCAGATGTTTGGTTCAAAAGAACCAAGTATAACAAGTTTAAACTTGATAAAGTAAGAAGATAACTGACATTTCATACGTTGTAAAGCCCACAACGAACAAGCAACAACAACAACAACAACAAAAAAAAGGATATCAATGTCAGATCAGCATTATTTGATAACATTCAAACATTGTTAGTCTGGTATCTAGTGTACATGATTATAATTTCAAAACCAAAATCTGGCTCAAGTTCCTTAGGGTACCACATAGGGATTGGCTCAATGTTCTTAGGGTGCTGCAAAGGATAAGTAACAGCTAACAGCAACAAAGAAACGGCACAAATCATTCAAATTAATACTACAAGAATTTCACATAATTGAATTAGGGATTTCTCAAGGTGAAGTTTGACAAATACCTGCAGCTTAGGCCGAAGTGCCTCAAGAGGCCCTTTAGGCTTTTCTACGCCTTGCTGTGACACCAAAAAAAAAAAAAAAATGCATTAACAAAGCTAGTTAATGGGACATATTAAAGTGCAAGAAGGTACCTTCCCAAGAGCCCAATCGGCCGAATCAAAGTATGCCCTCTCATGATCCTGGGATAAAATTAAAGCTTCAGTTCATCCATTAACCCACCACATTGATATTAACTTATTAAGGGATTCTCATATTCAAAATGACATGTTTATACCTTGGAGATGAGTGGTGGTTTCTTAGGCACAATTCCTCCATACTTTTTCTTAAGTGTTGCTTCCTGTAAGTTCAGATAATTTTCAAAATTTCAACATTTTACAACTCAGAAAATCAAAACCCATTTATTTGATCTGCAATAAATTGAAGATAATGTAAAATAATAATGAAAAAAAAAAACATCAAGAAAATGGGCTCAGAGAACCTGCTCTTGAGTAGATGGCATTGACCTAGAACCATCTTCTTCCATCTTTTCTTACTCCTTGATATCTTCTGCTGCTGAAAATTCAATCTCTACCCATATAAATACAAGATCAAACAAATTTTGAGGAAATATATAACAGTAACAATTACACCATCAATAATACCATAATTAAAAACAATCACCATATAATAATGTGTTCTTGAAATGGATCAATCCAAAAACAAAGCTCAGGATAGCAAGATCACAATGAAATCAGATTGGGGAAAATTTCTAAAAATTGCACAAACCCTAATCTAACTTGAATCAAGATTACCCAGAAATGAATTATACAAGAAGAAGGTACATCTGAAAAATTTGAATGCAGCAAAGTGAAAGAAAGTACCTGGGGTTTTCAAATTCAATGTTCTTGCCCTGTCCAAAAAGCTATGGCGCCCTCAGCAGCAAATCTTCTGTATCTATCTATCTATCTATATCTCTTATGTAAAACCTCTGTTTATTTTTTTTTTGTTTTTTCCTTTTTTTTTTTGAGAAAAAAAATTGAAGATTATCTTTTATTTTTGTAGATCTTTTGACAATGAATAAAATTATTATTGACTTGCTGATGAAATGCTATGGATCTTATTCCGAATTTGATTTTTTCATTATTAACATTTCATACAATCGTTTTCAATATAACGGCCTTAAAATAAGGTGAATCATTATATGAACTATTATCTTTAAAAATGACTCATAAAATTATATTCATCTTACCACATGATATTTGTTTTATGGTACACTTACTTATACACGCTAATTTTGATTTATATATACTCCATTTTGATTCATCATTATCAAATAAATTGAGACAAAAGAAGTACGTAGTATATTTAATGTTAGTTCATACTATACTCCTATATTGTTAAAGACGATTATAGACATTTATTATACTACGGAGTACTCGTATAACTTACGCATTTAACCTTAGTATTGAAAGTTATTGGTCAAACACTCAAGCCCCTGTTTCCAAAAAGTGGTGGGAGCACTCTAAATTCAATAGTGCACGTTTGAATATTACCTAATGCTTGTTGTTGCTCTTTGATTTGTTGATTAAAAAAAGTGAAATAGAAGATTGATTTCTAGTTGAAATAAAAGAAAGATAAAAAAAAAAAAAAAAAATCGGTTGCATACATAAATCAAAACAAATTCGGATTGTCCAAACTTGAAATCATGAAAGGATCATTAAAAATACAGCCTTGTGGTTAGTTATACAAAACGTCAACTTGGATCCTGTTGGAAAATCCACAAATCATTTTCTACTCGGATTGAAATCATTCAGTAGGAAACCATAAATGACTCTCTTCTTGGATCCTGTTGGAAAATCCGCCGGTAGCTAGTCCTACTTATGTACCAATTGAACAACAGCAGTTATGTAAAGATCAAGAACAAAGGACCTAGTTAAGCCATGAAATGATGCGAGTAATCGAACAAAGATCATCAATCAATAATATCATAGTGTAATCGTCCAAACTTCAATTTCACCATCAACATTGGCATTCAGTAGCTTGAACAATTCCCAATCAGATTACTAAAGTATTGTATTCATTGTATAAATGTATTTAAAAGCATAGGCATAGATCTGAAAATATAATAAAGCATGAGGCTCGAGTACCAAAATTTCAATAGCTATCTTCAATTGAATCTGCGGAAGTCATGCACTCTTTCAGCACTCAAATGCTGATCAATCAACTGTTCTTGCTGCAGATGCTTTCACTTCAAGCACACATTCAGTGGCCTTGCCAGATGCATTACTCTAACCTTTAACTAGATTTAGGCCGTTACCACGACATTTCTTTGCTTGTTGCATTTATTAAATAAAAAACACCAAATTTGCTAAAGCTCAAGATAAACAGCTTGAAACATCAGCAACACACATCGTGCTTGTTAGCCTGATGAGTTCCTTGGTCTCTTCATTTAACAAAACCTTGTCCTCTGTCATCCTTTCTTCAATTATAGGTGGCATCTTCCCAGCACTTGCATAAGTTCGGAGCAACATGTTGTAGATCTCTGTGGTTACATACCCAGTATTACGAAGCACTGTAAGCATATCTTCAGCTCCCTCAATACTCTCCTGCTCCTCTAAAAGCTTGTAAATCTCACGGATGAATGTCAAATTGGGTTCCCATTTCTTGACACTGGTGACAGCTTTTTTAAAACAGTCAAGAACTTGATCTACCTGCTTCAGTTTAAGATAACCACTAGTGAGAAGCTCCCAAGTGGTGTAACTAGGTTTAATGCCTTTCTGTGTAACTCGATTAAAAAATTCAGTAGCTTTTTCCATATGGTTTGCGTTGATGTAAGCTCCAATGAGTAAATTAGGGACACGGGAGTCGCCACTCGTAGAAACTAACTCCCACTCATCGTAAAATTTCTCAGCATCTTTCAGTTCCCCGAGCTTTATGAGGGAAGCTATTATGCAGGTGTATTCTGAATCATTCAATTTGCGGAACACTGACTTCATCTTCTTCCATGTATTATAGACTTCATTTTTCTTTCCTAAATTTGTATACAAACTGATAAGAGAAGAATATGCCGAACGATTTTTGCGGGATATCCTACTCTTCATTTCCTTCAAAGCACACTCGGCTTTGTCATTCATTCCCTTCTTAGTATACAAACTGGTCAGTATGCTAAATGTCATCCAATCAGGCTCAATTTTGGCCTTCTTTATTTCAAGGAAAACATTTTCTGCAGTTTTAACATCGTTCTGAAACTGACATGTGGTTAACCACAGATTGTATGAGACAATATCTGGTTTTGTATTCTTTTTCAACTCTTCCATCAGCTCAGGAATCTTCTCCAACTTTCCAATCTCCTTGTACATGGACATCATGTGATTATAAGGAAGGGGGGAGCTCACATAACTGCATTCTGCCATCTTAACCATCAGCGCCTCAGCTTTATCATAGGCACGATGCTGTACATAGGTGTGCAACAGCGCAGAAAGTGTAGGTTCAGCTCTCATTGTTTCAGGTATATCTTCAAAAAACTTCTCAGCACTGTCCAAGCCACGGATTTTAGCAATCAAATCCAAGTGAACAGCATAATCTCCACACAACAGCTTGATATCTTCTTGAGTTCTCATCCATTCACTAATCTAAGCAATTAAATGATTTAAACTCTAAATAAAATAGCAACATATCTTCAGATAGACGAAAAACTTCTGTTCATGAAATAATGCTTGCAAGTCCTAAGCATATACAACACCACAAGCTGACATTATAATTTAGTTCACCATTTCTCTACACGGTATACAATCACCTCATTTCGTTCCATATATCTTTAATGTTTATCACATAATCAGAAAGCAACACCTCTGCACTTAAACATTAGAAACCCCAAAACGAAAAGAAAAAATAAATAAATAAATAAAATTTCCCTCTTAAGAGTGCTTCCTAAAAATCTCTAGGGAGTGCAGCATTCCTGAATCCTGATAATCAACAGATTGGGGTCAATTTTCTCCAGCTATTGTCCATTCATCAAAGCATCAAACAACTTAATTGACAAGTTAATCCACTCTTTCACAACTGCTAATCCAAATTGACCAGTCTATCATCCCTTTGCGACCCTCATTACCAATTCCTACCCGAAATCCGGTGCTCCTAGGTGTTTGTAGGATTCGTGATTGTTCACGAAAATGAATTCCTCGTCAAATAGGATCATAGAGTGTGGAAAAACAATCGCAAATTCTAGCAATGATGATGCTAGATTGGCATAACCCCAAATATATCAGTTTATCACAGATTAATATGACAAAATATTAAAACTTGCATATATTTCCAAGTGTTTACTTCAATGCTCAATCAATGTCTCAATGATATATTAACATAACCAATAGTCATTTTAACAAATATAACCAATTTCAACTTATAAAAAAAAACCAAAAACACAAAATCAATTTTTTTTTTTCCTTAAAACCCTACATAAACCCTAATATGCAAAGAGAGAGAGATAAACCTCAAGGGCATGTTTGAAGCGCCTGAGTTTACGAAGCTCACGAACAATACGATTAAGCTCATACTTGCGAACTGCATGACCTTCCTCTTTCCATTGACGAATAGTGACCACTGCGCTCCGTTTTGGGTGTATCAGTGCGAGTAGCCTTCTTCCCAATGTATCTCTGCCCCCACCTGAAGAAGAAGAAGAAGAGGTTGTTGGGGTGGTTTTCTTGCCTGAAGATTCTGCCGGTAAAGCCTCTGCCGCCGCTGAAAAACGGCGGGCGGCGGAAATGGCGGCTGCTCCGATGCGGCGTTGTAGCATTTTTAATACTTGAGCAAAGAAAGGTTTAATGCTTTAAGCCAGAAGAAATTTGGTAACTAAAATTTGTTCTGATGGCACCACGCCACCACCCATTAGGCCACTAGTAGACTAGTGAGGTTTTTGTTTAATCCGAATCAGGTTGAACCTTTTTCTTTATATCGTATTGGGTTTTTGGTTATAGACTTAATACTCATTAAAGAGTGACATGTTTTCTTCATTTGATTAGAAAAATGCCTATTTTTCGCCTATAATAAATTCAAAATAATGTGACCTCGGATTTATTATCAACACATGATATCATTGTTAGATGATGAAGCAAAAATTAGAAATAATGTTAGGTAAGATTCAAATAGAACTTTTACATATGGTTTAAGTCATAACATATGTAAAATTTGATAATCATAGAATGAATTGGATTTGATTTAGATTGAGTTGATATTGTATCATATAACCAACCATGAGTGAGTATGACTTGCACTATCCGAAGTTATAAGTCCCCTTAATTTAGAAAGAGACATAGATTAGAAGTCGCCTCCTCCCAATTACGAACATGGGAAGGTGAAGTCCAGAGTTAAACCCCAATTCTCTTTACGAGTAACAGCCTATGTATCACATGTGAATCGATTGCCTATGAGGAAATACGGAGTTTATCTAGTCACACATGTGGATTATTAAGCCCTCAGACACATCCCCCTTTTCGCAAAACACCTCTTTGTATGATTAGAAAAATACTTATCTTGTCCCTACGTATGTTAGAATTTATAGACGCCCCTATGCATGATTAGGGTGAATGCTGAATGCTAATTTCAACCATTCTTGGTGGTTTACCATCCCTCGCTGCTAGCTAGCTAGATTAATGACTTACTACCATTTAAGGTATTATGCAATGTTGAAGAATTAGGGGCAGGGGTGTGTTGGAGTTATACAATTGCCAAAGCAATATTTGTGCTTGACTGCTTGTACTTTGCATGTTGAACATTTTCCAACCCGATTTTCGGATTTTCCTAACCATTAAAGGCCTGAGATTAAAGAGCTTCTTATAAATGAGTTTATATACAGATACTGAGATACTACTATTTACATCTGCAGAGCGCGAGATACAATTTCCCTTTAATGAAGTCATATGCTGAAGAAATGACATCCTTCTTTCCTCTATGACTTCCACAAGACCACAACAGCACTTTTGACAACCCCATTCATGCCTTTATCCAAGAATATGTGCATTCAGTTTGACAAAAGATCATTCTTTTGATTTGGAATTGGTCAGGCGCTTATGAATGTTATGATGAATCAGAAATTGCCACAGTGAGGGTCTGCTCTATCAGATGATGATCATGTAAATTACTGAATGCGGATCACATGAGCTGAAATCTGTGGCTGTGCTAGCTCATTTTCTTCATCTGATGAAGCGTGATAAAATGCTGCAGGTGTCTGTAGGGTAAAAGAGGAAAAAAAAATTATTACATCGTGAAGAGTATGCGCAATCTTCTTATCGCTCACATATTCTACATGGCAAAAAAAGTGCTGAAATGATTGATGGCCAAAGAAGTGATCATATAATCTTTCTACTAAGGCATCTTGCAATTAGATTTGAAACAAAACAATATAAGATTGCAACGAAATGTTTCAAATTTGAAGTACAATCTAGAGCAGTTAAGGGGAAAAAAAAAGGAAATGAACAAACTCCAGATTGCATTCCGTACGAGTGAAAGAAGGCAAAGCATTCACATCTGAAAGACTATAGCAGATTAGCAGGGATTTCATACTTCACTGACCTGTCGGTGTCTCCGATGATGGCGTATAATGCTGCATGCTTTAAGCATGACAAACATCGGCAGAAGAATAGCAATGGTCCGCAGCATCAATAACTGCAAGTAGTTTAAACAACTTTAAAATCTGAATATTATACTGACACATCCATACCACCACCAACATGCTAAAAGGGGTAAAGGTAACTCACTGTGTATAAGGTAAAAGAGTATTCTCCGGCACCACTATATACAATAGGAAGAGTATGGCGTAGAACAACCAAAATCATAAACTGCTTGCAAAGAAACAAAAGCAAAATCTGTCATTCTCTATGCATGAAATGATTGTCATTCTTCTGTATAGACAAAATCTACATGAAGAAAGGTGTGTAAATGTACTCCGTAACACTGCATTCCTCTACCCACTGAATATGGTGGCAGAAGAAAAGATAAAAAGGTTCATTGCAGAAGATTCACCACTTACACTGGAGATAACTGTATTGACATTTTTTAACTACATAATCAAGATGAGGACGAGGGGAGAACAGCTAGACAGTACACAGTAGAGGCAAGGATCCGAGTCATGAATTATATATTTTGCTGTATTTTAATAACAATCAAAATTTAGACAGCATACAATAAAACTAGTAAAATGTAGATTTTTGATCCTCCACAAGTTCAATAATGACATTTGTGCCGCGTGATAGCAGAAGTATGCTTACAACTCAAGCAAGTTTAGATATGCAAAAACCAAGCAAGGAGAAAGAGGGATTACTATGACTGTAATGATCCGACAACAAATTATGCTTGCAGTGGGAGCTGTATAGTCATCAAGTCTGTGATCGAAGAAATTCTGTGCAGCAATTATTGATGGATGATTATATTGATTACTTGTTGCAAATTCCCAAGGTTCCCTACAGAAGTTAGCAGGAATATTAAATTTACTACTAGTTGCTTCGCGCCAGCAATTCTGCTCTTTAAGAGGATAATCTCAGAGATGCAGGAACATCATTGATAATATGATATAGCAATATACATGTGTTCTCAGAAAAAATAAACAAGACCTCTTGGCATGTAATTATTTAGAGATGAGAGGTACCTCAAACGCACGGGAATGACAGCAAAGGGCAATCTAGGGGGTGGCGCAGTATATCCAGGCTTATATGGCTGCAACCTCATAAAATTGAAGAGACTTAATAGTAAATACAGTGGACAGTTAACCAAAGACCACAAAGAAATAATTGGAGAAGATTAGAGCGAACCTGCAAGCAAATCTCACAGACAGTGTCACCCTTTTGATTGCACCACATTTGTACACATCTACGGTGAGCATACTGCAATTATTCAGACATTATGGTTCGATTGGAAGATCTAAACACATAAACTACCCAAGCATATAAAGCATTTAAAAAAAAGAATCAAAACACAAGAACACCATAATTAAACCATAATCAAAAACACAAAAGAACTTTCCATATCAAAACATTCTTGTAAACAAGGCAATACAAATACCTTCACAGCTTCAGTCAACACAAGTAATAAGACAGATGATCAAATCAAAATTCAATAGAATACAGCAACAATCAAATATTAACATAACATTATACCGACCTTCAAGCTACCGCAACAAGCACATGGTGCTTCCATGTTCGACGATTCATCTTCATCATGGCAAATCCTACACTGAGCTAATTTTCTAGGGAATGACCCATCATTTGCATCCATCCTATCAAATGAAAAACTTGTCTCCGTACCTACAACTCTTGTCTTGTTTACACTTTTTACTTCGATAGGAAATACGAGCTAGTTCATTAATCAACGGACAAAATGTCCATACGTACATACAGGGAAATCTCCAAGGAAAATGTTTTTCCCAAACTTGTTCAACACCAAGGTACTTTCACAACTTAATCTCAATCCACATTAATCACACCACGATTACACTATTATCTCTTTAATCAAGTAAGTAATTTTGACACCCAAAATGTCTTCTCCATCAACAATCTCCCAAACTCATAAGCAAATCCCTGCATTAAATTTACAACATCATATCAGCAAGAAATGAATGGGCAAATTAACAACAAAACACTCCCATAAAAGTTAATTCTTCCTAGAATATGACACGAAAATCAATAAATAAGAGATAATTAATACTTCGTACAATATAATGTTCCAAAAACATATGTTGAAATTACAAGAAACCCATGTCAGAAACAAAGCTACTAATACTCATTCACATAATTAATCTGATAATCCAAAATTTCTGGGAAACAAGAAATATAAACAGAACAAACCCAGATAAAAAATCAAAGAACCCACCTTTGAAATTGATTGATGAAGAAGGAAGGAGAAGATTAATGGCATGCAAGAGCATATTAAAGGGAGAGGAGAGAGAGAATAAGACTTACAAGCGATGATTTCTTGAAATAGTTATCTTTGAATTATGTTAAACAAACCAAAAAAGCAAGGTATTATTTGGATTTTGTTATTTATACTCCATCTTTCCTTAAATAGTAGTTTTCTTTTCTTTGCCCAGAAATTACTATTCCTACAATCTTCATCTTCTTCTTCGTGTTGTTCTTGTTATTATGTTAAATAAGAGTGTACAAAAACCAGAAAAATGAAAAAAGGAAGGCATTGTTTGAGTAACGAATCTTTCTATAATTGTGTTATTGCAATTGTTTTCTGAATAAAGTTGGATTTAAAGCAACGGAAGTTGGGGAATTCTGTAATAATAGAATTTGTGATTGGAATTCTCATTGCGTACGGTTCCAAGCCTGTCACCTAGTGTGGTGTGGAGTATGTGGACGGTTTGCTTCCAAGCCCAATTCGATTCAAGTTGCTACCTCTATTCGGAAATAATAGTCACATACTTATTGTCGATGTCAAATTTTGATCTACTCAGTGATTATTTGTCTATGTTGATGTCAAATTTTGATCTACTCAGTGATTATTTGTCTACATTTGTTGAAATGATACGAGTACAACTAGCTTAGCTCGCATTTAATTAAAGATGATTGTTGGTTGAACTGAGTGGAAATAATAAATATATTTATCACGCACAGCTTAATTTTTATCGTTTCGACATGCGTATAAATGTAGTCGTTGGAGTTTATTATTCAGATTATTGAAAAAGTGTCATTTATTTTTTGATACACTTTAAAATATGACATGTTATTACTGATATGTGTGGATTAGTTGGTAAAAATCGAAGGATTATATCTAAAACATTAATCAAATTCGGTTTACATTAGTTTTATTAGCTTCAAAGATTTCAAAAAATTAGTTACAATATAGCTGGAGTAATAAAATCAAATGGGTAAATATAATCATTTATATTCCAATCAAAAGTGATCAACTACAAATCATGGATATTTATAAAAGCAAATCATGTTTAGTTGCTCAACACTCACAAAAGCAATACACATTGATTGAATACACAAATACATAATGAAGGTTTTGTTTTGTGCGCTTGTCACTTTTTCTGAAATGATTTGGAATCGTCATTATCAAGCCAAATCTTATGTGACAATTCATATAAAATTAGGACTATACAAACCCTCAAGTTGCCATCTCTACCATATCAAAGTCGAATCTAGTAATCTACTAATGTTTTGAAGGGTAAGCAATGGGAGTGATAATAGCAACTCATAATTATATAAACAAGTCATATACAATCACCACAACGTATGCTTTTACAACAAAATTCACAATTTTAGTCCGCCGCTAACAAGATGAGATACTAGACATGTCGGAAGTTATATCACATCAATATATTTTCAATATCTCTGATATCCCATATCTCTAACAAAAACCCTTAAGTTAGCGAAGACATGAGAAGAAACTTAAAAAACACGAAAATATACACAGAAATTGAAACAACAGCAAGTACATGCTGCCAGAACAAAAGCGCTGAGGCTTCTTGCACTGCAAAACCCCTTAAGCTAGCAATAGCACCAAGTAATATAGCACTAGGTGTAACATAATGCAGCAAAATCACAAACCTATACATTTGATCACCTTCAACCAAAAGACCTAACTTATCAGCCAAAACAAGCACTCCAATCCCAGCTAAAGGAAGCACCAAGAGCCTCGCGACAATGATCCCCACAGTAGTTTTTATACCGAGCCTAGACTCCTCTGGACCCTCGGCTAGCATCCCACCCAACACGAGCATAGCAGAGGGCATCATTGCATTCGCCATGAATTGAAAACTATCGGTGATGAAAGAAAGAGGGGCATCCTCACCAAAAACAAACCCTTTAAGCTCAGGCACCATACCAATAATTATGGCTAAGAAAGAAGCAATTATTGGTGGGCTAAGAATGTGCTTAATTGGTGTTTGTTCTGCTACAATCCTGATTTTTCTTACCATTTTTGGCTCTGGAAAACACCTTCTTGATTTAGGATCATCATATTCTTGGCCTTCTTCGAGTGTCCCTAACTCGGGTAGTGATCTAAGGGAATCAAACAATAAAGAATTAAAGACTCGAGCAACAAAGGGTGTCTTAGAGTAATCAATTTCCTTATCTTTTATCCCTGGCCACTCTGCATCATGAAGAAGTGGCATACTTAGCTCATTATCATCGCGAATAATCATATCATATTCCTTGTCTTGAATCTCATCCTCAAAATCGCTTTCTTCCACAACCTCATAGTATTCTAAAGGAGGCTCCATCATATGATAAACAAAGGTATAAACAAGAGCCACAGCCACCCATTGAGCAAAAGAAGCATAAGCCACACCATTCTTCTCACAATCTTTTCCAAAGGGATGATTCTTTGAATGACAAACCGAGGTTATAATAGCTAAAGGAAGATTTCCCATGTTCCCTAACGCGGTCATGATCACAGTAAACCGGACATATTCAGGTGGAGGGCGGCATATGATGGTTACAAGGTACCCTAAGAACGAGCCTATAACGATTGAGAGAACGACATTTAAAGGGATGAACCACCAAAGGGTGAAGTTCTTAAAGGTGATAGATTGGCCTAAATTGGTGAAAATCAAACAGGGCAAAAATAGGCCAAATACAAGCTTGCTTAGGAGCTTAAATGTAGCTCTTGGTACAAGTTTGGCTTTCGGATGTGCTAAAAGAACACCAATTAAGGTTAAGGAGATAAGCTTTAGTAATGGTATTATAGCACTATATAAACTCTCATTTTTCATCTTTTCTTGATATACCAAAGAAAACAATGATTCAGCCATTTTAGAAATTACAAAAATTTTGAAACGACCAAGTTTCCTACAACAAAGAGAATTTTAAAGGGAGAACAAAAATTATAAGTATCAGATTATCAGGGCATACATGCTCAGCAAGCTAAGCTAAGGTTGAGGATGATAATAAGCAACATTTTTAAGTCAAATGGAATTAAAGTCTTTCTGAATACAAAGGAAATGGACAACAAGTAACATTTATGGACTGCTTCAAATTAAAGTAGCAGAGAAATATTCCTAATGCATTTTATTTAACCTTGAAAAGGCTTAGGAATGACAGGACAAATGCATTAAAAAGGGTCTTTTAAGCTAAAAGAATTAAGAATCGTATTGTCTAACTAATCATCACCTCATAAGGTCATAAGTAAGCATATACGACACAGTTTTAAGTAAAAACTTTTTATAGTAGTTGGATCGTGATCATTTTCAATTCTTTTCATCACTTAGTAAGGGTATAATGGTTAAACCAATCACAAACTATGTATATATTATTTTTAATATGAAATAATTTTTCCAAATATCTTCCCGTGAAATATTTAATTGCAAACGGACATGTATATTATTTTAAAATACCAATAATTCAAAATTTGAAAGTACAACTTATTGATTTGTTAAGAATATGGTGGTGTAAGTCTAATTGTATTTTTGGCAGTATGCTGTAGTTGTGAATACGTGGCATTTTTATGATTTTTTCCTTAAATAATCAGATTTATTTGTCACCAATAGTTACTGGATACTTGGCTAGCTAGTTAGCTGTGGATTATTATTACAAGTAATTAATTAAAATCAAGTCCGTAATTAAATGGAAAATAGTAGCGATATGGCTACAACTTCTAGCTGTATGGGCCTGTGGGCTTTGTCCTAGGCCAAGTTATGTTGCTATTTAGCCCAATTGAAAGTCCAAACATTCCAAACAAATGATCAGCCCAATGTCCATATTATGAGCTTAATTGTTACAAGTATGACTTATGAGAATTGTTGCTTTTATTAAATTTTTTTTTTTATTTTTTTTTATTTTTTTATTTCTTTTCCTGGTGTTTAGAGAGCCACAAATACGAGTGATGAAAATCAATTCTAAAATTCTCTGATAGTGGGAGGAAAGCTCTAACCACCTGATATATCCCTCAGTCTCTTTGATTAAGTTTTAATATAGGGTAAAGAATATTGCATGGCATGTGATGTTAAAGTGAGGAAAATAAAATGCGTCTAAATAGGGATCTAGTAGAAGTTTAACAATAAAATAAATTAAATTTTGCACAAACTAAATAATGTACATAAATTATTACAATAAAATTGGAGCGTCTAACTATTAAAATGGAGAAATTTTAGCTGTAATTTCGTTTATCATTTCTATGATATGGGCCGTTAATAGACCATTTGAGAATAAAACACTTAATATACCATAAGCCATGATTCCTAGGGCTAAACTTGGTCTAGAATTCATTAGAACAAGTTGCAAGAAACCAATTGCTCCATGCACACCACCTTGAAATTGTATGATATGTTTCTTCTCCCACTCAAACCAATTTGAAGGTACACAAACCTCTTCACCCTTTTCCATCATTTCAAGTTCCTTTATTCGCAATCGAAGCACAATCATATCTTCATCCACCATTCCACCACCTCCGGAATCTTGACTTTCCATTCTTTTACACGATATAACATTCGTCGAATAAACATGTACATCATGTTTGTTGCTCGTATGTGTAAAACCTCTTCTCGTCCTAGGAAGTCTGCTTCTTAACAAACTTATCGAGGTGCATGATGGAGAAACAAGAGACAAACTCGAACTCATTGATTTCGTAACACTTGGGAGACAAGAGGATGCTTGAAATAGGCTACTTATCTCCATTTTTTATGTAACTTGAAGAATTTGAACCAAAAAAAAAAAGTAGGTTTGCAAACAAATATAGAAGAAATAGTTTGTGTATAAATGATTAAATGATGATGAATTACGTTGTTAATATATGATTGTATATATATAGTGTATTACCGCGTTATGAAGTGCAAATTGAAATATAAAAGACTAGGAAAGCGCGTGTAATTCGTTTGAAATGTTAAAAAAAAAAAAAAAAATTGGATTATTCTGCAATTTGCGTGTATAACTGTTTAAATGTTTTTGCGATTGTATTCTAGATGTATATTTAGCCGCACTTCATACTATTCTTAATTTGGACGTCCTTAATTAGGATAAGAAGAAATCCTATAGACATGTCCTATCATGAAACTTTCTTCTAATTTTCCATTATTGTAACGTGTATTCTTGACCCAATAAATATATAGATTTGGGATCACGTGAGAAGTGTTCTTATGGTGAGAAGTGTGAAAAGCAATTACAGCCCTTAGATCTAGAAAATTCAATGGCTGCTATTTAACCCACCTCATTAATGGCATTATTAGTAATTTTCACCAACTTTTTAAATATGTTGATAAATGACGTTCAATTCTATCTTATACTTGACCCTCCATTAACATAGTAGTATACTTTCTCTCTCCTCATACAAGCCCTTCCAGGCTTCCACTATTGCCTTAATTTCATTATATTGTATCAATTATATGATTTTAATGTATCTATAATATATATTGAATGTATCTGTAATGTTCTTTTGATATTTTATCCTCATAACAACTAACAACCCATCTCAGCTGACCTTCAATCTGAATTTTCAAATTTGAATATCTTAATTCATCCAATTTTGTATTGTCTTATGTGATGTAATTATAATTACGTGTGAAATTTTCTTGTAATTATCTGACAAATCAAAACTCAACTTAAACATCAAGAAAACAGAGTATCTTTAATTTTGGAGCAACATAGCCTAGAATATAAAATCTTCTTCAGCTGAATGTTTGTGGTAAATTGCTGAAATTTTAAAGTGGACACTTATTTGATGACTTGATGTGCCCGAGAATGACGAGAAAAGTACGATACGAATTAAGCAGTATGTTAATAATAAGTAAACATGCTATATATATTTTTTTTCTCCTTGTTATATATATTTGGTAATGGTGATCATAATTGGTTGATAAAAACTGGGTTAACATGGCTTAAACTCAAATCAGCCTTCCCATCACACTGAATTTTAAAGAATCTGCAGCATATTTTGGATGTATTTATAGTGTAATACTAATGCATATGCAATGTATTACTAATGTACTTACAATGTGTTACCAATGTATTTACGCTTCTCACGTTAAGTGTACTTCTCACTAGATCCTAACCCTATATTTCTATTGTGATCATCAATCCTTTCCAACTTATTACAACGTATCCGGTCATTACGTTGTTGAATATATTCAGTCTATTTGTTGATCTGAATTTGATTCTAAGTTAAATCTTATACAACAATAGCTAACATGACAAGTTTTGAAAAAAATTCCGTTAGCTAATCGCTCTGTATCTCATAATCTAATTGAAAAGTGCTAAATACATCAATTTTTCGATACAAAAGACATGTTACATTTCATTAAATTAAATAAAGATACTCGGAAAGTTCGATACAACCACGTCAGATATCACATATCCAAGGGGATCATTTATACATTACTTAGCATCATATCAAGGTAGTAATCTAATAATTTAAAAATGGTTATTCATCCTTAAATGAAAAGCAAGATACGTGTGCTTTGCTCTCCATTTCAAACAAGCAAGCACCAGTTTCTTTGATCATCCACCAACATCTTTCCCCACATTCTTGTTTATATTTATTGACATTAAAAATTTCAAAAACATGTACCTTTTTATCCCATTCAAATCCACAAAGTATCTCTTGTGTATTATCATTAACTTCAAATTCTTGGTATTTCCCAAACTTTAAGCTTTGTTTTCCATAATCTTGCTCCTTGGACCTGCAATGTACTCTTAGCTCCTTCCCTTGGGCTAACGCATTTACAACTCGAGCATCACGACGTGGTACGGTGCCTAACCCTTGTACGACGAGTTCTTCTGCCTCGCTAGTATTATTAATAACGTTCAACATAAGAATTATTGACACATTGACGGTAATGAGACCGCCTCGTAATTTCAATTGATTATTGATCATCTTGCTACAAATTGTACGTAGTCGTAGAAAATTATTATTTTGATTAAAATTATGGTTTTGATTTTTGAAGTTGTACGTGACCTTAGGAGGGTTGGTACTTAATTGGTATTATATAAGCATGGAATTAAAGAATTATGTAATTTTAGAATGTATGTGAAAAATAGTATGGTTCCTCAGTCTAATACGCTCAACCTTTGCGTAATTATTTCGATAATGTTCAATATTTAAGAAAAGAAAAAAAATATAAATGGAATTATTTAAGGTACTTTTGAAGTTATTTTGAAGGCAAATAATTAATGATGTTTAGAGAAAGTAGGATGGATTTATAATAAATAATGATGTTTAGAGAGAATAGGATGGATAAGAAGAATGACGTGGCATGAGTGTAACGAGTGGCATTCAAACCTTTAATTTAAATAACTCATGAATTACTTCCCCCGTGTTTTTTCAAGTGTTACATTTTTACTGACATATAGTTTTAGACAATTTAATTTACTTAAATAAAAAAAGAAGTAAATGGGGTAGTAGGAGTATTAAAAAAATATAAGTAATAGTGGGTTTATGTGGAAACCATAAATAGAAAGAGATATAATATTAATATGTAGCTTTTTGCCAAAAAGTGAAGTGTAACACTTTAAAAAAAACATGGTCAAATTTGGTAAGATTTAATTAATTAAACACGGAGGGAGTAGGATTATTACGTGATTACTTAGATTAGGAGTAATATAAGGGAGTCAAAACCCTAATCAAATAATCAGGAAGTGAGTTTGATTAATTAGTTAATCTATCTGGATTCATATCATTGTAAATTATGTTGTTTGAAGCAAATTAAAGGAATTTTATAGTACCACTAAATTATGTAGGTTCATAATTAACGTACGTTACTATTCAAAAAAAAAAAAAATAGCGTATTAAATTTGAAATTCAACTCGATCAAACAAAGTTGATGATAAGAAGGGAGTAGTAGTTCATTATTTTCTCTCGAACAACATATAAATTATACTAATAAAGCATGTAGAAATACATAATTTAGCTACTTTGTAGTTCATTATTTCCTCTCGAATAACAACATATGAAGTATAAATTATACTACTAATAACCAATTGCTAACACATGCACCAATTTAACGAACATTATAACTATATCCTCAAATTCTTATGTTTAACATCCCAACCATAGCATTCAGTAAAATCTTCCGTCGAATAATCAAGCAAGCAAAGGTCAGTTTGGTTGACTTTCCACCAACATTTTTCCCAACAAGGTCCAGCATCTCTATTCTCATCATAAATATCAAACCAATGTAATACGTTGTCAAATACAAAACCACAGAAAAAAAGTGTGTTACCAAATAAATTAGCCCCGAATTTAAACTCGTAGAAAAAACCATATGAAATTAGTTTCACCCCAAGATCGTCGTCCTTAGATTTGCAATGAATTTGTAGATCTTGCTTACTATCTAACACGTTAATTATTCGAACATGTACTTTGGGGCGTAGTCCTGCCTCTATTAATTCTGCAAACAACATCAAACTAAGTAAGGTTAACATAATAATTATTGCACCATTTTTGTAGGCTTGATTCATGTTTATTAAGAATTTAATGAAGAACTATGGTATTAAAAAGATTTGAAAATGAGAATACATAAATCGGAAGAGGAACATTTGTATATATAATGTATAATCCTATCTCACTTTTTATAGTCTCTAATCCGAGCCCTAGTTACTTTGGACAGATTATTCAATATTGTACTAAAATTAATTATATGAGTTAATTTTTCAAAATTAAGCAAGAAACTTTACAAAAAATGAATGCCTTATCTTATGTTTCAAAACGTTCACAATAGACTGAGAATGCGCATAGTTACTATGTACATATGGAGAAAATTGTTATGTTCATATCAGTGGTAATTTCCAATAATAGAGATGAAAAATAAACCCTAGCCGCTTTTCTCCCATTTTCTCTTTAGGGGTCTCAAAACTCAAAATGTGCTTGAAATTTGACTATTTTAATTTGGAACCTTTTGTTTTAGTTTTTTATGTTTTATCGTTAATTTCAATAAAATTACATAATTCTAGTGGAGAGAGTCCCCTAAGGTGCGATAATTTGAGTATTTTATTTTCATTTTAACTAGTATTCTTTTTCTTTTGAAAGAATTTTAATTAGTATTCTTGGAGTACTTTGAAATTGGTTCGTTGATTAAATATTATGCGCGATCACAACAATTATTAATTTTTCAATGTCAATCAAATGGATTTGACGAAAAAATCATTTTCACAGCTATAACAATTGCTAGATTGTTATTCCAAAAAAGTTGTATTTTCTAGCGAAATTTAAAGAGATTAATCTTATGCCGTTTATACTATGTCACCTCATAACTTTGAAACATAAAGGGTTTTGGATACTTGGGTGTGGAAAAGATGTAAAACAAATAAATAATGTTAATAAAAATGAACTGATTAACTACAGTAAGAGGATTTCAATCTTGAACTCTCTTATTTGTTAGATAACTAACTAGTATGTCACTTAAAATAGTACTAATTTCTTAAAAAAAAAAAGTACGTAGTATTAATTTAGGAATGCATGTCAAAATCACGTGTTGGTCGGTATAGTTAATGTTAACTTTACATGATATTTCCACTTTTAGTTCTCTTATCTATTACCCCGAAGACACTCGTTGCCTTTTACCCAAAAAAAAAAAAAATTGATTCCGCATGTATACGCACTTGGTGTGCACGCAATGGGACTTGAGACTATTGGGTAAAACTGTAAAACATGTAAAATTGATGCTCCTGCTCCTAATACAGAGTAGATCATTGAAAAAATCAACAAACAAAACTTTGATATTGAATCTTAAGATGATTCTAATGTAGTCTTGTTACTTTTGACTATTACAGTTTTTAAAAGTGGACGGTTGAAATTATTTGTTTTTTGATTTATTTTTAATTAGTAATTTTAATTAAAAATAATTTTTAAAATATATTTTTATCTTCCAGAAATTATTTTTAATATTTTTGAAAATTTGGAAATAAAAAAATTTAAAATAATTAAAAAATATTTTTTTAATTAAAATTACTATTTAAAAGTAAATAAAAAAACAAATAATTTTAGCCGTCCATTTAAAAAATTATGGTGATTAAAAGTCATAAGATTACATTAAAATTTTCATTGAATCTTAATTATTAATTTATAAATGCAAGTTATAGATCGTCAGATCATCCTAGATCGAGACTATGGGGTATAGGAATTAATGTGTCATGCATTGTGTCATTAAAAACGCAAAGAAACAAAATATTTTAAAAAAAAAAAAAAAAAAAAAGGAAGAAAGCAAACACATTTATTTATTGCGATTTACTTGTTTGAACAAATATAAAAACAAGTTTATTAATCAACAAATGCACCTCTAATCCATATCAATTACATCCTTAATTCCTTGAGTTTAGCAAGTTTAAACTCCTGATGTTTAATAATCCCAACGATAGCAAGTTTCAGCACTAGTAGTATAATTTAGTATACAAGGCCCAGTTTCGTAAATTTTCCACCAACATTTCAAACAATGATCTCTTTCTTTAACATAAACACCAAACCAACGTAAGTTGGTATCAAATGTAAAGCCACAAAAATAACGGGTGTTGTCCCATACGCTATCTCGAAATCGGAACTCATAGAAAGTGTCATATGGTATTTGTTGCACCCCAAGATCGTCATCCTTTGATTTGCAATGAACTTGTAGATTATGCTTGCTATCTAACACGTTAATTATTCGAACTTGGTTTTTTTTCACGAAATTCTGCCTCTATTATACCTCCACACAACATCATAATTATCATGGTTAATGTATAGCACCATTTTTATAGACTTGGTTCATGTTTAATTTAATATGAATTTGATGAAAAACTTTGGTATATAATACTTTGAGATTAAGACTTAAGAGGATAAAAAACAAGATGAGGAGTGTTTGTAATTCTTCCTCACTTTTTATAGTCTCCACTCTCCAACTAATGTCCAAGTGATGATTTTGGATTATTTATTTATTTATTAAAAAACTTTGGAATGTTTTAGTGCATTGGTTTCTGATAGGATGCATTATTTCTCCTAAAATTAAGCAAGATTTTATTCCCAAAATTTGGTTCATCAGTTATGTTCACATCACTTATGACACAAGTCAAGATATATAATCCCAACCCTTGATTTATTATGTTCACACAATCACACATACAATACCACCTCATAATAACACTTGAACAATATGGGTTTTCGAAATAAATAAGGGGAAAGGAGGAGTAAAATATTAGTGTTCAAATTGTGGAATGCACGAAATTTTTCTACATTTTATTTGTGTACATAGTGTTTGGATAAATACAATACTTGAAAATAAACGTATGCAATTAAATTATCCAAAAATTGGTTGACCATACCAAAATTGAAAAGATACATATAATAATTGATAATCAATTGGCTTAATTACCAAAAAAAAAAAAAAAAATGGTTTAGCTTATTATAAAATACAATTGCCTTATTGATGTGTCAACTAGACTTAGAGTCTTGGGGGTGTTACCTGACCTATAAGAGAGTCGATAAATAAGTTTTAGGAAAATATATATCACATGTCGTGAAGAATAATCTAATATCTTGTTTTCAAGTCTTCATTCCTAAATTTTTTCTTACATTACATGATCGTACATTCAACATATATTATGTCGAAGCTTTATAGTTTATACTCATAAGAAAATATAAATGGAAAAACAGAAACATCATTCGAATTGTGAAATATTAAAGAAGTATATTCTCATGTAATAAATTACATATCATGATACCATGTACGTATGACATATGTACAATGTACGTGGTAATACATTGTATCAAGCTAATTGGGTCTACTCTTAAGAATTAACCTATTCTTAAAATGCAGTTGGTTATATTACTTACATACAAAGAATCTGGTATAGGTAAAAAAAAAAAAAAAAAAAAAAAAAAAAAAAAAGGAAGTAAATAATTAACGTACCAAAGGAAATAAAATCAATTAGAAGCCTTGAATATGGCACCTATATAAACAAGGCTTGATTTTCTCATAAAATTCACTAATCCCACAATCGTTAAACAAAGATGACGAAACACACTAATAAACATTATGTTATCATAATATTCATAATTTTTGCCATATTTATCTACCAATATGAGGCAGCAGATCTTCGAATTTACAACGCATTGGAAAACAATAAAATCCTTCAAGTGCATTGCAAGTCCAAGGATGATGATCTTGGAGTGCACCAACTTAACTTAGGGGAATTCTATGAGTTTCACTTCCTCCCTAATTATGTATTTCCTAACACATTATTTTTCTGTGGTTTTGTGTTTGATGATACTTTGCATTGGTATAATATTTATGATCAAGTACGTGATCAAGAACGTTGTCCTGATAGTTGTTATTGGACTATCAAAGAGCCAGGGCCCTGTTTACTTGATCTTGGGTATACTGCTAATTGCGATGTGTGGAATAAAGGAAAACTTCATATGATTAACGATGTCGTGAGAAATGTTATTGGGTAGTCAAAGAGATAGAACCTTGTTTACATGTGTGTTTTATAAATACTCGCAATTATTATTTTCTTTCATATCTCACAAAATAAGTATTTTATTAAGATATATTGTATCGTACAATACAAATTCTAATTTAATAATATCTCGTGCATTAGCATGAGTAATTGATGAATACAATCTGATAGCTAGATGGATATTCAATTAAATCCCATTAAAATGCCAAGGAAGGCAATGATCATATTGTCCACTCGACATATTGAGCAAACAAAGGCCAGTTTCATAAACTCTCCACCAACATAATTCTTGGCAATTTTCGTAGTCAGGCCCCGTATCATAAACGTTAAACCAATGCAATTGGCCAGGCACATAGTCGTCAAATACAAAGCCACAAAAAAATAGTGTGCTCCCCCAAAAATTCGGGGTGAATTCAAATTTATAAGTTTCTCCCGACGGAACTTGGTGCACTCCTAGATCGTCGTCCTTTGATTTGCAATGAATTTGAAGGTTTCTACCATCGCTCAATGTATTCATCACCCGTAAATCTACCTTAAATAATGCTTCAATAACCGGGACATCAAGAACTAGCAAGATAAGTAACATAGAAATTGCTACATATGTAACCTTGTTAAGTAGGCTCATTCTTGAATTTTTTTAATGTCGGAACTATATTTGATTTGATGAATAAATCAAATTATACTGCTAAGTATTTTGTATAGTACTATGTATGAATCATTTTGTATGAATTAAGCCAAACTATGGCATGTTTTTTATAGCCTCATGGAATCAATAAATTTTTTATTTTTTTTCCTTAATTGAATTTTAATATTTATTGTCTATAGTAATGTAATTTCGGATAGATGATGCCTGGGTAATCTTTAAGGATTCTATTCAGTGTATTCACCTTATTTTGAATAATAGAATTGATTTTTCAAGTAAGTGTTACTATTTCTTTCTCATTTTATTGATGATCTTCTTTCCTTACTATCTACATAATCATTTACTTCTGGTGTAATTTATTTAAGGCAATTTAAGTTGAATTTTCCATATTAGCAGATTACCCTCTTTTTTTTTTCTTATAGTAGGTGTACACATTCACTGTATTGGTTCTTCTCCAGTCATATGTGAGTTGTCTGTATCCTATTGTACGGGGTAGTGAGTTTAACACTACATCAAAATAAGTAAAAAAAAAAACGGTGCATCCGAATATATATAACAATCTTTATGGGTAAATTTCCTTAAAAAATTAAATGATTGATTAGCCTTGATTATAATTAGAAAAATATAATAAAATTCAGGCATAAACATATTTGAGTAAAAACTCATCATTCTTAATTATCATAGAGTTGCATTAATCTAATATAGATGAAATTGCTAGGTAACCCTTATTATTTTAAGTAAATTAAACATACATACAATAAATTACTGTAATAAACAAGTCACTAATTCTTAAGGGGTCGCCATTAAAAATCTTAGCTTAATCAACCCCAAATCTAAGTATTAAGCACTAGAAATGAGAAATATGTACATTGTCAAAACCAGATCTTCAGTCTATGCTTTTAAAAAATTACTACGTACTATAAAACTTGATGATCGTATAATATAAGCAACCTATGTAAAGTGGAAAGCAAGCAAAAGAATCGAAGTAGGCACACTCAACGTAAGCAAAGCCAGGGCACCAAGGGCAACACTAGGTCGAGTATTCATCAATTGAGTTTGAACCACACCCAAAACCGCGCATATATACTCATCATATTGAGCGTACATTTGTTTCTCCCATTCCATCCATTCCTTAGGAGGCTCGTAATTTCTCTCAACTACCTTCATTTCGTGGATCCTTTTTCTCAAAACGATCATATTTTCATCCACTAGACGACCTTCATATTGAGACTCGTAAGAGTTACTCCTCCGAAGAGCTGAGACTATTCTAACATTATTGTTGTTATTTCTCGAGTTGAGTTTTGAAGTTTTGGCTAGGGGAGAAAATGAGTATAGAGGATTTCTTATCGAAGAAAGAATTGTAGTTTCCATGATAATAATTATATGTATTTATGCTTCTTGTAACTACTTTGGTGTAACAAGTTTGAATAGGCTAAAATGTTTTTATGATCATATTTCTCTTGGAACGGTCCATATATATAGGCCAAATACAAAGAGAATGTAGAAGCAATCAATCCAAAAGTATTAATTTTATATTGGTTAATCAATATTCTTAAAATATTAGCCGACAATTCAACGCGTTGAAATGTGATTCGAGTTTTTGCATCGATATAGTTTGATGGCAGTTAATAGACGGCTTGTTTAGCGTAATTAAGAAAATAATATTTTAAATATTTTATATGAAGATTAATCGTAGAAATTATGAAGCAAATGCGAAGAAGTTGAATAATTATTGAAGAAATTTCCTCATCGGTGATGTAAATGGTTCATTAAATGCGGCGAACAAGGCGGGCATGACATATTGGGATGCATCACATGGAGGGAGGGCTTAATTATTTGGAATTAGTAGTTATATTGCAACAGTGTTTTGTTTGTTTATTTAAGATGATGTACTTTCTAAATCATAATTTGAGTATTGCCTTACCACGAAGTCGTAGTTGACAATCGACATATGTGGAATCCAATCATAGATTCGTTGTAAATAATTTATGACTACGAAATACTCTTCCTTTAGAGCGCAGAAAGAGTATAAATGAAAGAGAGCTCCATTTTGTTTCTTTTGATCGAGCTAGTTATTATATCTTATATACAGAATTTATCGATACATCACTAGCTTGATAGAAGTTAACGGGAAATCAGTAATCTTCATGATACTATGAACGTGAACTTATACAATTTTGTCCAAACTGAATGCCAAATAGACTAACAAATGAATATAAACAACAGTATCGAGACATCTGCTATGCTGTAAGCCTGTAAGTGACAATGATCGATATTCTAATTACTTCGTATGTTCCAGACATTTTGTCCATTGCTTGCATTAATAATATTGACAATTGAATGCTACAAGTGCAACAATGTGCTCTTGCCCAGCTCCTTTACAAAGGTCAAAAGCTTAATTCAGTAATAATCTTAAATTTGCTGCAGCACTATCAATCATCATAAGATGAATGTGGGGCTGATGTGCATCCGGGGTCAAACGCGTCTTCTGATCCACAACAATGCCAGTACTGCAAAACTTCGCCAGAGTTAGGGGTGTTCATCGTGCCTCCTGTGTAGACGCTCTCAAACTTTCTTTTTGTCTCTCCTGCTTAAGGTGATGAGAAGCAAATAAGGAACAAGAAGGAAAATTGATAGACATAGATAAATACTCAATGTTATTTCAAGTCTTCTTCAAATCCTTAATCAGCCTCCAGGCTTAAATTACACCAAAAAACAACATTGACTACATGAGGAACCCATCCTTGTCATCAAGGAGTACACACAAGCACCACATGGAAGTCCTCAGCAGCATACAATGCATACAGAATTTTGCAAGAAGAAAAAAAGAGAGAGAAAAGCCTAATCACGTCATTTACAAAATCTACAGATAGATGGTGGAAAGTATGTCTTAGGTATAACACTCCTGCTTCATCTCAGGCATCCAGCATCCAAGACTTTTCCTTTTCAATCCAGAAGCAACAAAGTCAGAGTAGGCATAAAAGTAAACAAAAATGAAGAGGGGTTTGACTTAGCAACATGATGTCAATCAAGTCACCAACCGATTTCAATTAAAGTTTAAAATGGAGAAGTCTGCTTGAAACACTACTGAAAAGGGAATGATAGTCTCTTGCAGACGGGAGTACATGTAAAGCACAACCTGGGAACAGGAGCCTAGCTCTCATGCATATTTTTTTTAGTAGTGTAACAAATTCACTTCGAACAAACTAGCAGCAAGAGACTATATTTGCTGCCATCGTAAACTAAAGAAAGAGTACGTAAACTCTCTCTCTTAGCTCTCAGATTCATTTCTTCTTGATATGCCTGATGAAAGAACTTAGAATATTATTCAATAATCCCTAATTCCAACAATCTATCAAAAAATAATCAAGGAAACAGCTCTCTAGCTACATGAGGGGACATGTATTCTCAGTAGAACCTAACATATCATCAACAAGAGTTTCCCTCAATTTAAGGATCATAAGAAGTGCACACAAGATGCAACCAATGTCAAAATTCAATGTTTATGCCTTATAAGGTAACACATCCCCACTTAAACTCATAAACCATGGTGTCGAGTCCAGTAGCAACACCTCCACATTAGAAGAAAAGTAAAAAAGGAGATTAAGCAACTATTTTTACAAAAAATAGCAACAATAAAGCTTTAGATGTCACTCACTTGCAATGTTCAAGCAATCTAGATTCTCTAATAACAAAACCGTGAAAGGAATATCTGATGTGAAGCTCTGAAGAAGTTTAAAGAGTTGGGTGTTGGCAATTTGGATGAATTCTTGTTCATTGTTTAGGTGCTAACAAAACAAAAGGGAGGTAAAAGAGATGGTGGAGCACGCTGTGGTTGAAGTCATACGAAGCAAAAAGGTACATCCACTGGAAGAAATTTAACAATTCAGTGAGATACAATTGGTTAAAGCAGCGGAGCATCCTTATGCAAAATATAATCCATCTATTCAGAAATTGTAGCTACATTGTCTCTCCTCTATATGTTAAGATAAACACACTTTTACTAATATCCTACTAAAAATAATTGCAGCATCCCTAGCTTCTCTCCATTACATGCTAATTGGAGCTCTTCAAACGAATAAATTAGCAAGAAATACTCGGTGTACTCCTAGGTGTATAATGGAAGCTCTGATCATTTCCTTACAGTTTGAGTAGCAAATATAACTTACTTCATAAATATTTGAGGCTACCCTTATGAAATGAGCATTTGCATTGTAAAGTGTTGTTCTTTCAAGCAACATATACACATTTCTTAAGCAACCCCAACTATTTTCTACAAAAGTCGAGATGATTACAGAAAATCGCGGTCGCAACAACGGTAAATTAGGACATTTAGTGATTAGTACTGTAATGTGTAATTAACTAATTATATATAGTTTGCACCTCCAATCCTACACCATATTATCATCTGTCAAGTTTCCCATCCAACTATTTCCACAAATAAAAAACACCAAGATTCAATTGAAAATACCAATTCTATACAGCAAGTTAACAGAAATTAATAATTTGATATATGATTCAAAATACCCAGAAAACATGAAAAAGAGCAGGAAAAAAAAAAAAAAAAGCAATAAAATCAAAATTTTTAAAAAAATATGGAAATGGTGAAATTAAAAGGGTACCTCCAAAATGGGCAGTGTGAAAACGGCAAGCAAGAGGGTGATTGAGAGATGGATCGAACTGGGTTTTGCAATTTTTGCAAGTTCTTAGGGTTTTAATTTGTTTTTCGGAGCAACAATTGATTTTTTGGCAGAATTTGTTCTTCCTTTTTCCAGTGGGAAATTTCAGAGAATTAGTCACTAAGCAGGTGGAATCTAGTATGAAAAATGGAGGATGAATTCTGGGAATTGAATGGAATTTGAGGGTAGAATTCATTGATGAGTAAGAAAGAGTGTGTGAAGTTGTGGGCATTTCGGATTTTGCGCCAATTTTAGTCGTGGTCTTTGAAGAATGCAGCTTCAGATGAGATAATCAACTCATGAAAGGAATTTTTTCTTTTTTTTTTTTAACCTAAATATTGCTCATAGAAAATGTACATTCCAGCAAAATTGACAAAATTTCTATATTGATAGATTTGAGACGATTTCAACAAGTTCTCATACGACATTTAATCATAAGACACAAGGCATGAGTCAAAATGTTATACAAATTACATATTAGCATACATTTATACTGGTTACTCGGTAGTCGGTATATAATACGAAGTATGTAGTAATATAGAGTGGGAGATTTTTAGACAAAAGAATGGGGAGAGAAAACTAACACCAATAATGTACATAAAACTTAAAATTAATACGTACTACCTCCGTTCCTTAATCTTTACATTTCACTTTTTCATGCTTGCCAATGTAAATTTTTAATCATAAAAAACTTTAAATATAAAATTATTAAAAATTGATATTCAGAATGTACACATTAAGACGAATCTAAAAGCCCTACATGAATATATTATTGCTAATAGCAGTGAACTTAATAGCAATGGAACAACTACAATACAACAAAATAAAATCAATTTCCTCCCAAGAAAAAATTGCAAAGTTTCATCATATATCTCAAATGTACTACTTCAGTAGCACAATTTGGATAAAATAGTGTACACCGGGCAAATCTGGGTTGTGGCCCCTAAACTGAAGTTGGAGTTTCCATATCTTGCTGAGTACCCTTGTCCTCGTCGCTTTGGCTTCCAGCATAACCATTCCTTAACAACTTGAGCTCAGATGGAAGATTCTTCCTGGCTTTGCGGCTACCCTCGATCTTCCATTGATCCCACACCTTTGTTTTTGGTGGTGGGGAAGTATCTCCAATGGGTGCAACCAAACCTGGCTTACCATCATCGATAACATCATCTACTAGTCCATATTCTTTTGCCTCCCATGGATTCAAAAAATTATCACGATCGGTGTCTTTTTCAATCTGTAAAGAAAAGAAATATAAAATTCATGTTATAGAACTCTACACAAGACGTGAAGGATGAAAATTGCAGCTAGATCTTTTTCATGTTACTAACCTGCTCCTCAGGCTTTCCTGTGATTCTGGACAAGATTTTGTTTAGCTTGACTTTGTGATATGCCATTTCTCTTATACGTATGCTCATGTCTGTTGCCTGTAAATACAATCATGTAATTTTCAACACTCATGAGAAACATACTATGCATTAATATCGACAGCATAAGGACTAATGATTTAATAAATTAAACAGATTAATCGATAGCCATAGCCATAAGATGTTGAAAAATGGAAAAGGAACAGAACAATATGCAAAAGAGAAAACAGAGTAGCATCAAGTGCATTGTGTTTAGTTTGTAAACAAAAAGTAGACAAATCATATGAATAAAGCCAACTGGAAAATGAGTACCATTTAGAAGTATTAGCCTCTTCTTATTGGGTTATAAATGGATAAAGGGAAATTGAACAATGTATAGTGCAGGCTTGCAGCAGTTTTCGC